GTAGGAGCCACTTCTAGAATCCCAATGCCTGGCAACGGATTCTCAGATGGATCAAGCGCGACGAGGACGTTGCGAGTCTAACGGGGGGTGATTTAATACCCAGACCAAGAAAGTTTAAAAAATTTGATAGGTACTACTCATACAAACAAGGTGCACCTTTTTTTCCGGAAGTCCATCGTTAGAAACTCTACAGTTACGCGTGCTTAGTTTGGAGCAATTTTATGATGGGTGACCCCCTGAAAAGTTTTCTTGAGGAGCGTGCGAGTGAGAATAAAGTATTCTGAAAATCCTCATGTTGATACAGTGGAGACAGTACGTCGTCGATCTAACGGCCGGGGACAGCTCGAAGTGGGACCCGGGTCGTCACAACATGTTTGATCACCGAAATTCATTTTGTTCCAAAATGGTTAGTCATTTTACTATTTTAAATATTTTAGTTATGTTGCAGTGCATGTCCTGGTATCATGTAAAGGTCTACATGACTTGGTAGCTAGAATTAAGATAAGGATACAAATTGAGTGTTACTAAGTGTGTTTTAACATAAAATGACAAATAACCAAAAAATAAAAAAAATTAGCAAAAAAACCTGATACTCCAACCCCTAGCATCAAATTTCCACATCAAATGCAGCTTTTTATTTGAAGTTATGTAAAATTAACTCAAAATTTATTGAGAAATAACACAAAGAAAGAACTCGTGAAAACTTACATTTTATAGATCTTTTGCACGAAACTCTACACTCCAATGACTAATGTGTTATGATCTATAAAACCACTGATTTTAAATGCTTGGAGGTGCAACAAAAATCAGAGCTAGGGTTTCATACTCTTTTTATCTTAAACAAAAAATATTCAGAAGTGTCAAGTTTCTTCAATTTTTCTTTCTCACGAATGATTATAATGTTGCAACTGGAATTTCTTAGGATTAAATAATGCTCATTAGGATCCCAAGTTTCTTCCAATTTTTCTTTTTTCTCTCGAATGATCATAATGTTGCAACTGGTCCACACAAGTCGTGCATGGGGCTTTCAAAACGGGATCAGTTTTTTGATGGTATCATATATATATATGATCTCCTAAATATCTATGTTTAGCTTATGATGTGGCACACCAATTAATTGGTGAATCATTAAATTCCTGCGACCCACCATTAACTTATTCACCAATTAATGGTGTGTCATGACACAGATGCTTAGCTTATAGAAATCACTAGACGTGACATACTACAATAGGTGGTGCAATCAATTTTATAAGTAATCATTATCTCTCACCATCTATCGTAGTGTGTCATGTCACTCGAGAGCTCAGCATAAGCTAATCATCGATACTTGGGAGTTCAGTCATATATGTGTGTGTGTGTGTGTTACACACGTGAAGTTAATAAAATCCCTCAATTTCCACATACCCTTAAGCTTTATACCCCCTTCTTCACAGTCGGTAGGTTGAATGCTATGGTCCAATTCAGTGAAATCGGACATTAGTTTAGTTGATTTGATTACACGGGAACAATATAGCATTTAAATTATCTGTGCATGCATGCAAATGAAGTGCAGGATTTTTAATAATAAGTGGACGCAAAGATTGTACTAAAACATAGACTGGAATTAACGAGTACACACTGATGTAATACTCATGAAATCATTTGAATGAACAACAACACAGGAAAAAAAAATTATTCAAATTACAGTAATATGCTTGAGATTGAGTGGAACATAGCATCTGATGCAGCAAATTAAACTGGTATCACTAATGAGTTAGTTTTATATTCCAGCAGTTCTGACAAATTATCACTGAGACTCGAGAATTCCTAAAAAATTATATTGGATTGTTCTTCCAATTCTTTATCTTTTCTCAATATTCATTTCGAATCAACGAGCTGGTCAATTCTGTATTTTCTTTCTGATTATGTTGCGTGAGTTTGGTATCAAAGCCGAATTGCCACCAAGGGTACTGAAAATAGTGATGCAATTACGAAAAGACCATTGTTCTATATATAATTAACAAAAAATAATCCTTATAAGTTATATTTCTCAAGTTTCTTCACTTTTCTTTTTTCAGGATGATCAGCAAGTCGCAACCGGCCCGCACAACTCCTGCACGGGCTTCCATAGTGTGGCCAGTGAGTAGCCCTTTTAACATGTCTAGTTCTTCTCCGATGGTATTTGCAGCTAGAATTTTTGATTGTTGGGGCAACACACCATTGTCTAAAAAAATTGGCTGAAACCATTTGTACAGAAAAATGGCCAAAGAATTTCACCAGAAATCTCACATGGAGGTGGGTCCTATTGTGAATAAAATATTGCAAAAAATGTGNAAAATGGCCACAGAATTTCACCAGAAATCTCACATGGAGGTGGGTCCCATTGTGAATAATGCTACTTTGCCCGAAAATGTGACATAATGGTTGACAAAATAAGTGTTGACAAGATGTGATTGGTTGAAAAAGTTGATTGTACTTTAAACAGTCAAATAATAGGTTGTCATGTGACATTATGTTAATGATTATGTCAATCATTATATTCATATAGCATGATTCATAAGATATTGCAAAAAATGCGAGCCCCACCTGTTTTGTGTGTGGCCTGGTGGAATTCTGTGTGCACAGTATTCTATGCACACAGCAAGGTTCAAAAAAATTTGAGGTATATAACATGTACTTTTATGTACATATATGTACCTAAAAGGCATTTTTTACCGTACTAAACTAGGATCAAATATCTGAAATTCAAACTCTAAAAAGTCATCCTTGGACTTCTACAATTTGTAATGAACCTATGCAACAAATTTCTAATTTCTTACAACCTCAAAAGGAACATGGGATCAGGTTTGGAGTGTAAATTTATCTGTTAACAGAAAGTTTTGATTTATTCGATTTTCAAATATAGGAATTGCTAATTCCATGCACATAATATGCAATAGGTAGATTTGGATGTCTACATTGACGTCGATAATTGGGTTGAATGGTTTTGTGTTTATATAATATGTAAATAAACATGGTTGGTAACCAGACTTCATTTCGTCCCAAAATGATCTGTCATTTCGCTATTTTAGATGTTTCAGATGGGTCACCTGGTTCGTCTTAGTTAAGTCAATTTAATGCAAATGTATACGAGTTGGGAGAATTAAAATGTGGTCTGACTGAGTGTCACTTTCCGTATTTTAACATCAAATGACAGGTAACACTGAAAATTAGCAAAAAGAAAAACTCAAACCCCAAACCTGAGCATGTTTTCCACACCAAATCCAACTTTTTTCATCAAATTTATGTAAAAATAACTCTAAAATTAATTGAGAAAAAAAACACAAAGGAAGAACTCAACAAAAACTCACATTTGATTGATCTTCAAGCGAACTTTTGCACTAAACTCAACACTACAATGAATCCTATGTTATGGTCTATGAAAACTGCTTGGAGGCACAACAAAAATAAGAGAATTTGAAATAAATATAAAGGGTAATTAGCACATAAGAATTTTACCTCTCACTATGCAAAACACATTCCTACCTTCCAACTTTTGGCATTTTCACCCTTAATTATACATTTGATTGCGTAAATCGTCATTTCTGTCCATTTTCATCCAACTACTCTGTTAAATGAACGCATGTGGCTAATTTTTTTCAAAAGAGAATGGTATTCTCAAGCACAAGATCCTTCTCCAGGATTCTTTCAAGCACAAAATGGTGTGAACATGGCTGAAACTGGAACATCTGGAAATCAGGTGAAAGGAACCAATAGTGAGAACGATCAGGGGGCAGATGTTGCACAGGGAATAACAAATTCTGCAACCCAATCACAACCTGTCCAAGATCATTCTGTACTAAGATGCAGAGAAGACAGGTTGAGTTTATTAAGAAAAGGGTGCTGCTTCTGGAGAAAGTACTTAATGCAGAATACCAGAAAGAATATTTTGTAAGTTCTTGCACTAGTTGATATCATAGATGAAAAACTTGCCTGTTGTTTGAAATTTTCTCAGATGTGAATTTTTTCCGTCATCAGCAGATAATAGAAGTACATGAGATTATAGGAAATGAAAATTTTAAATACCCAAAATTACCACTTTACCTTCACTTCACTGTGTTACCTCTCACTACGTGAGTTAAGAGGCGGCTAGGAAAGGAGAGGAGATGGGGATGTTTCGATCAGTGATTGCACTGTGATTCCACATTCAGCGTAGTTGCAGGAAGAAAGGGAAAAATGTGGAAAGACGAGAATATCCTTCCCTCTTGAAAAAAAATTGACTACACACATTAACTCAATGAAGCAGTTGGATGAAAATAGATAGAAATGACGTTTTTTGTAATAAAATATGTAATTAAATGTGAAAATGGTAAAAATTGGCAGGTTGATACTTTTCGGCTTTCTGCACAATAATAGCGAAATGTGAGGACGTTGTGTACTAATTACCCAAATATAAATTTCGTCATGGCTGCCCTTATTTATACTATTCAAACTATTGATACAGGTCTCGTTGATATCGTATTTACCAAATTGCCACCGAGGATACTTAAAATAGTGGTGGAAGGACGAAAATATCATTAATTTGATATATGATTAGCATCAAATAATGCTTATTAGTTATAATTCTCGAGTTCCTTCACTTCTTTTCTTTTTTCTCAAGAATTATCAGCATAGCGCAACCGGCCCCGCTGCACATGTCCAGCACGGGCTTCCAAAACTTGGTAGAATTGAATCATGCTACATGTAAAATACTGGTTGACAACATTGGTTGACAGCATATTTAGCATTATCATATCCATCTATTTTAAAAAACTATTTTCTATATCACATACACTTATCAAGAATTATTAGCATGGCGCAACCAGCCCGGCCGCACATGTCCAGCACGGGCTTCCAAAACTTGGTAGAATTTGCAGCTAGAATTTTGGTTCCCTGGGGCACCATACCATTGTCTAAAAAAATTTGAGGTGTATAACATGTACACTATACCATATATCTAACTTGTATGTATCTTTAGATTCCTTTATTACATGCTTGATATCAAAAAAATATTGTTCAAAAAATGATTTAGAAAAAGAAATTGGAGTATTTTTATGGTGATTTTTTTTTTTAATATATTTGTATGTTATTCATTTATCTGAATTTTCTTCTTTTATTTCGGTTTTGAGCTACCGTTCTTTCATTTCGATGTTCCATGGAAAATTAGTTTCCTAAAGGCTCTTTTTTTCATAGTTTTAAACTAAGAGCAAATATATGAAGTTTTAACACTCAAAAACATACTTGGACTTGTATTTTTTAATGAACTCAAAAGGAACATGGGATCAGGTTTGATGTGTAAATTTATAATCTGTCACAAAAGTTTCATTTATTCGACTTTCAATTATAGGCACTGCACATTCCTTGCGCGTGATATGCAATAGGTGGAATTTGATGTATCTTGACCTTGATAACGGGGGTTGGATTACTTTAGGTGTTTTAACATAAAATCACCAACAATATAGAAATTTTAAGAAAAAAAAGAAAAGTAAAACCCCTACCTCGAGCGAGTTTTCCACCACAAATCCAACTTTTCTTCGAAGTTATGTAAAATTAACTCAAAATAAATTAAGAAAAGCACAAAGAAAGAACTCAAAAAACTTACATTTGATTGATCTTCAAGTGAGCTTTTGCATTGCATTCCACACTCCAACGAATGCTACGTTGTGCTCTATAAAAAGCACTGATTCCAGGTGGACTTGTATAATTTTTAATGAACCTATGAAGCAAATTTCTAATTTGTTAAAAACATGGGATCAGGTTTGGAGTGTAAATTTGTCCGATTACACAAAGGTTTGATTTATTCGACTATCACATATATGCATTGCACGTGATATGCAATAGGTAGAATTTGATGTATCTTGAAATAGATAATTATGTAAATAAACGCGGTTGGTCACCAAACTTCATTTCGTTCCAGAATTGCCGGTCATTATACTATTTTAAATTTTTGTGTTATGTCACCAAACTTGTCTTTGTGAAGTCAAGTTAATGTAAATTTCAACATGACTTGGCACAATTAATTAAGATGTGGCGTAACTGGGTGATACTTCGGGTGTTCTAATATAAAACTATAGATACCACTAAAAATAACAAAAAATTAAAACTCAACCTCAACCTCAACCCCAACCCCAAGCGAGTTTTCACACCAAACTCAACTCTTTTTTAGTCTCCTAAAGGCTCTTCTTTGCTTTATTCGACTTTCAAATGTAGATATTGCACATTCCCTGCACATGATATGAAATAGTTAGAATTTTTTAATGTAATTTGACGTCTTGGGTAGTTTCCGTTTTATGTTTATATTACATAAATAAACACGGCTGACCACCAAACCTCATTTCATTCCAAAATCGTCCCTCATTTTACTATTTTAAATGTTTCCTCGCCCACTTCTATTACAGAACCCCCTCCAAAAAAATTGCACTCAAATGCACCAAATGCTTGGTTTGGTCAAGTGATCCAATGGAGAAGAGGCGCACCATGCAGAGTGGAACCATACGGAACCCTAAAAGGACTAGGAAGGTTGGAATGCCAACATAATATGTACCCATTTTGGTAACATTCAGTGACTTCTACGGTACGATTTAGAGCTTAAGAGATTGTGGATGTGCATTTGAAATTATACCGAATACCCTTAGGCGAAGCAAGCAAAACTGTAGCATAATCCTGATTAGATGCGCATTACGTAATCTTAAAATTGCCTGTAAGGGGCTACTCAAATTAATGCTTAAGTCAAAATCTAGTACAACAGTCTGCTTGTGCATAAAGCACACGTTCATGAATCCTTGGTGTTTCTTGTAAATGAATCTAAAATTTTCTTCTCGTCCAAGTTGTCAATCTCACTATTCTTTCTTGCTCGACTTTACAGCATCAGCTTCTTCAGAGCTAGTAGTTTTAGACTCGTCAAACTCCAACAACTGCATAGAACAATAAAATTCAGTAACAAATTAACCAACACGTTATACATCTACCAAGCTACCAATAAAGATCTGCTCCTTGAGAGCTCAAAATGTGTAGGGTATTTTTGAAGTGCTTGTTTAATAAGCCCATGTTTGTCATTCTTAGAAATTTTAAATTATTTGCTACAGTATCATTCTCCACCACATACTCATACAATAAAATATTTTACACACAAAACAATAAAGTTTCCTTACTTTTTAACCATATATTCTCCATCAATTTACTATTCTATAATATATTACAAGAAATTAATGGCTCTCAAACAGGGCCTAAAACTTTGCTAAAATTTTATGACTTTCAAGCATTTCGTAAAATCCGCTACTTTTAAACCGCATTTTATCAAAGGAGTAGAGGGAGCCACGGGTAATATGGAATTGGTATGGCAAAACAACTGTGAGAGTGGGATGGAGGGAGCCGCAGGTAATGCCTCAAGGACCATACACTGAACAGTTTGTGTATGAAATTCCCAACTGCATCTAGATTATCACATTCATAATCATTTCGAAGATTGTAAAAATGCATCAATATATACCCCCCACACACACAATCCTTCTATTTTGGGGAAGATTATCATCTTCAGTTGAAAACAAGCTCCATGCCGACAATTCAGTTTAACCGTAGCAAGTTTGGAAGAGAAGTTATTCATTGTCTATGGTGGGATTTGGTCTTAGCGGAAGAGCATAAATCCGTAAGAAAAGGTTTGCTGGGGAGGGGTACACCAGTGTAAAAAAATTGGCCATAGATGATGGGTTTTATTTGAAGTAGAGAAATGTTGTCCGTTTAAATTTGGAACTGCTAGAAGTTTGCTGATGATTATTATGATTGGAGATATATACATCTCGTAACACATATGTCAGCTTAGGGTCATTTCAAATGCCAGGATGGGAATGGGAATTTTGAAAGTGATAGTTTCAACAGTCACGTGAAGTCACAGGACAAACAGGCTTCACTACATTCTTAGGCTAGCGAGGGGATAATCCATTTTGCCATGATTTTCTCGCTCCTCGAAAGTTCACTGAATAGTATTTCACAATGAACTCCTTTCAAAGATAACAAATAAGAAAATTAGCCACACTGAAAAGTTATGCTTGCAATCAGAGTTCTAAAGCCCTGCCTAGGCTCTGAGAAAAAGTCTACCTCACGCTTAGGTGGGAAAGTTGACAGTCAACTCAGCGTTGACCAGTTAAAGCGCATCTAGGCGGAAAAAGAGGTGCACCTTTATTTTGCAAGAGGTATTTTCTTGTTTTGAAGTCCAACTCAATAAAATACTCAACCATTCTAAAACAAAAATGGAAATAAGTCCAAACAAAAACCCACCCTAGCCCAAACCCAGTCTATGAACATAGCTTTCTCTTCCCAAGAACAGAGCATTATTGACTTTGAATATTTGTGATTTTGGGAATGATGTTTTTGTTTGAAACTTGAAAAATATGTACGAAGTTCCTATAAATTTTCAAGGTATGCATTATTTGATTTATTTATTGGTCAACAATAATTAAAATAATATTAAAACATGAAAATGTCTTATTGCAGTAGGCTCGTAAGGTTAGAGCTTGACCTTCGTGCTTTACGCCTTTTACAACCTTGTTTGCAATGTAAGTAGAAGATCAATATTACATTTTATTAAAATCAAAAGAATGAAGACTTACAGGTTTGACTTCTCCGTTACATATGCAATGCACAGCCAAAAATCCAATAACAGCTGGTACAATGTACAACAATGCAGGCTGGAAGAAAAACATAAGCATATTCTATGAAGAGAAATCGAAATATCGGAGATATAAAGATAACTTGAGGAGACAATTATTCAACTTGAACTTGGAAAAATAAATAAAATTGTAAGAATGCGTTCTAGATACTCACCTGTGCAGCTTGAAACCAGTTCATGACAACAATTGTGAGAACCAAACCAACTGCGTATCCTAGAAAAGCACTCTTGAAGTATTGACTTTCCTTCCC